CCTCGAGGTCCACGGGCCTGTTGAACTCGCTGCTCTTTGCGCTCGCGTATGCGAGCACGAGCAGGAGGGCTGGGCCTCGCCGGGCTGCCATCGCGTTCACGAAGGGCAATGCTGACCTCAGGCATTTGGTTTTCCAGATGGAAGCTCGTGCGGCAGGCACATGGGAAGCTAGCTGCTCGGCGAGGCGCCGCCGCCCGCGGACGACGGCGACGGCACCCCCTTCATCGTGCACCTCGCGAGCGACGGCGCGCGGCCCGACGTCGCCGCGGCCGTCGACCGCGCGGACGCGGCGCTCGGGACCGACGCGGTCCTCGCGGGCGGGCCGCCGGCGCTCCTCGCGGCGCTCGGGGCGCGCTGCCGGAAGCGCGCGGTCGTCGCGCTGACGTTCCAGATGTAAGGGTGTTTGTGTTACTTCTAGTACGAGGCTATGCAGCCTGTAAAGAGAGCTCTTTCAATTCATTGAAAGATTTCAGAATCCCGACGGCGTATTCCTCGCCCTTGGCGGCCGCGCGCCTCAACCAGCGCTGGCCTTCGTTGATATCGACTTCCACGCCGTTGCCTCTAAGGTAGCACATCCCGAGCAGTGCCTCTGCCTCGGCGAACCCGCGTTCAGCGCTTGCTTTCATGCATCCAAAACCACTCGCATAATCACCGTCTTGAAGAAGAAGAAGTCCAAGGTTTTTTTGTGCATGCGCGCTGCCACGGTCCGCAGCCATTCGATACAGCCGTTTCGCCTTATTTCGGTCCGGCTTCACGCCCTGGCCGAGCTCGTATGAAATCCCAAGATTCACCATGGCTCCCGAATCCCCGAGCTCCACGGCGCGCTTGAAGAGTTTGTTAGCCTTCTTCATATTTTTCGCGATGCCAAAACAATCACCTTTGCTGTAGATGTCCGCTAACTGCTTGATCGCTTCTGGCACATCGTTCTCCACGTGACGCCGAAGCCGCGCGAGCTGCTCCGCATCGCTTCCTAGCGGTAAACGACAGATAGGGCACGGCCCGACGCCGATCTTTGCCTCGCACGTCCTGCAGACCAACTTGCAGCAACAGATACGAAAGAAATGCTCTTGCTCATTCTCGTCCCAATCCTCCAAGCAGACCGGGCAGCGTGACCCCCACCGCTCCGATAGCGGCGCCGGCTCCGGTTCCGCCTCGCGCCGCGCGCGGGCGGCCTCGTGTTCCGCCGCGATGCGCGCGCGGACCTCGTCGGCGTGCGAACGCGGCGCGGGGCCGTAGACCACCTCCGGCGGCGTCTCCGGCGGGGGCGTCGGCGCTTGGTCCCGCGCCGCTTCCGCCCGAATTTTCTTGCACGCCTTTCGGTGTCCGCGGTCGCGCCAGTCGACGCGTTGACAATCCGTCGAGCAGTACCTGCCGGGTCGCGCGTCGCGGCCGCGCGCCGCCCCCGACCCGTTCGCGCCGGCGCGCGCTGTGTCGTCCCGCAGGGGCAGTTGAGCTTGGCCTTCTCGCCGCAGATGGTGCAGGTCAAACGGAGACGCAGTTCTTTCGCCCGGGCCTTGACTAGCTCGAATTCTTTTTGCTTTTTCTGCCAGTCCATCAGCTCCGGGGGGGCGGGTTCGTCTCCGTCTTTTGGCATAATTGCTCCCGCCGCGGGGCGCGTTGTCGGTCTCCTTGCGCCCACACCACTTGGCTCGCTCGCTAAAATTTTAGCTCCTCGCCACAAGAATTGTCAAGATCCACAAGCACGCGCGCCGGCCGGCTTGCGAGCTCAAGCCGCGATGAAGGCCTCCTTCTCTACCCTCCTCGTCCTCGCCGTCGGCGCCCAGGCCAACACGCCACCTGTCAAGGTCTCGACCTACGACGCCCTGAACGCAGCCGTTCTCAACGGCGACCACAAGATCTTGGTGGAAAGCGATATCACCTTCGCCGCCCCTATTGAGATCCCCGCGGGCAAGAACATCCGAATCTACGCGAAAAAAAACGCCCGGCAGACGCTCGACGGCAACGGCGAGACGCAGCTCTTCCGCGTCGACGGGACGCTCACGCTCCAACACCTCGTGCTCGCGGAGGGCTACGCGACGAACGGCTTCTGCTCGTACACCGAAAACTCCGGCGAGGCCTGCGGCGGCGGCGCCGTGCACGTCGACGTGGACGCGCACCTCATCGTCGACGGCTGCGCCTTCCGGGACTCGCAGGCGCGCTACGGCGGCGCGATCTACACCTACGGCGGCGCCGTCGACGTCTCCGGCTCGACGTTCGCGGAGAACGGCGCCTACGAGGCCGGCGGCGCCGTCTGGACCTACGCGC